AGGCACGACCCACAATGCCCACGGGACGTGCTTTGCGTTTCACCGGAATTTCGTGCTGCGCAATGCTATGCTTCGCGCGTGGCCGAGTAACGATGAATCCGAAAAACACACCGGAGGTACGGAACAAGGGTCGCCGAACGGTGTTGGTACCGGTGCAATCTAGATCGGTAGCGCTTTTGTATCGGCGCCTCGTCGCACACCGGTGTTTCGCTCGAAACACAAGGGGGGGGCATGGACAACGATTGGCTTTCTCTTGTGAAACACTGGCAGTTAAACTGTTTCGGCTTCTCTACAGAGCATTCTGAATTGCCCTTGTTGGGATGTAGGTGACTGGTATCGGTGGTTTTCATTTCTTCGGTTTGTCAGAAGTATCCGATGCATTCTTACAGCAAAGACGGAATAAGGCATGGATGCCGTCTAGCTGCTACCGCATTGGAATTGTCCATCAGCAAGCAAGCGATGTTGATGAAAAACATCCCAATTGAAAGTTTCTATTAGATTGGATGTAATCTTGTAAGGTWCAAACCAGCCCCCTTTCGCGGTGGATTGGGCGTTCCTTGACAATCCAAAAACGTATTTTTGAGTTGAATCRGTGTCTCGTCAAGAGATCAATACGAATAATATTAATAATTATTTCCGTTGCCTTCTGCCCCCATCAAATACTTCTATCAGTACCGTATTATGATCGAAGATCATAGGAGTACGAATGGTACGATACTACTGTAGTTGTCAAAGAAGAACAGAAATTGTACTAAGGGGTCCTAAATTTATGACCCGTGGTTCTACTTCTATTATTTATGAACTTCTTTCGTGTTGCTTACAATACAGTAGTTCCATTGAAAACACGAGAAGCAGTTATTTCTCATTCTTCCTTAAAGGTACTTTTTGTTTGTAAGGAACACAAAGATATCGACAACATTAAGGACAGACGTGCGGGAAATTATATTCAAARTAATTTTATCATTTTTCTTACTGTAATGACCCCAAAATGAGAATAGGATCGGGTAGACATGTGATTCAATCATTTTGACAATTAAGATGGTTTTCTCTTAAGTATTTTATTTTGTTAATTAATTTTATCGAGCCATAGAAAGGTTATGTAGAGTTCCCACTAGGCAATAAATTCTGCTTCGGGTCTCGGTATTCTCGCCTTATAAGTAGAATTAATTCTAGTTATATTAAGTGCGCTGTGAATGGTACACTGCTCGACAGAATCCACAAACTTGTACGTCCGTCCTCTAACGGTTGATCAACATAAGGGATGCCACGATGTACAATTGTGCCTTATGGAAGCGTACGAAGTATCCAGCAGTAGTACTCCCTTCAAATTGTCGAATAATGACATTCAGGGGTGCAAAAGAAATATCAGATGACGGGACCGAGCAGTTGGAACCGATTATCATTCTCTCTGAAGACATCACTGACTTCCCTATAGGGAAATTGAAGATATACAAAGCGTTGAAGACATCCATTAGTCATAATATAATTGTGGGACAGAACTACGATCGATCCATCGATCTATCGATCCGCAATCTGAATCGAAGTTGGGATTTTGTTGGGGATGATGTCGGCTGTTGATTCGCCCAAAAGAAAGGGGTCGAAAGCATCGAGAAGAAAAASCACTTCTGCCGCTCGATTGCAAGCAGCCAAAAAGGCCCTCGCAGAACTCACRAAAGATGATGATGATCARCACGAAACGGAAAGCGATGCGAAGAATTGCGGCTGGACCTTGGACATGCCTTCGCAGCAAACGTCCGRCGCGACCGGAAGAAGACCTCTTTTAAGGTCAACGTCGAGCAAACAACTGATCGGTGCATCAAAGGAAACCGCGTCCAAGTCGACGTACCGACGTTCTAGCTTGGCTTCCATGTCCGCCCCGAGCATGAAGCGGGTTATTCCGAATCGTGGGCCTGCTAACAGCACAAGTAGWAGKTCCTTTGGTCTCCGAAGGACAAGATCACAGTCAAGAAGCCTATCCATTGGTATGATGAGCAATCGGAATATGATGAACRGAACTCTGTCCATGSATAAGAACGCATCGATGAGAAATGAAAACGATGCTTTTGAGAGCGAAAAGTTGCTSTCCAAGACTATGATTCATGTGCTTTCCAATGAGCTGAAGGGSTCGAGGAACGATGAAAGMAGCAATAATAAACTTACAACGGTTGGAGAAGCTGAGGACGAAGGTGAAAGTGCCGAGATGTTGACACAGCGATTTATGAGTGAATTCCCAAACGACAAGGTTCCTACTCTGGGCGTTTTGAGACGTTTGTACAGCAAGGCCAACGAACCGAAGAAACAGGAGACTTCTAGTGACGAAAGTGAATCTGACGACGATTCTGACGACGATTCTGATTACGATAATATAGACGATAAAATTCATGAGGCCGTTGCAACAATGATGGGAGTCGATTCACATTCGAAACAAAACGGCACTTCTTTCGAGGATGATGTTGAGCTTAGTGACAGTGGGTTGAGCTTTGCCTCCGAGAGCGAAAAAAAATCGTGGAGAGCTTATGCGACTGCGGGTAATTCTGTGGATGACGATAGCAGCGATGATGATGGCAATGATGAGGACGACGATGATGATGGCGATGATAATGGCAATGGCGATGGCGACGATGGGAAAGCAGACTCGTTACGCAAAAAGGGAGGGGAGGAAAGAAAAGACAACAGACCCCAAAAAAAAGGCATCAGCGGGGGGGAAAGCCCAAGCTTGGAGGTCTTGAACATTGGGAAGCACAAAGGTAGAAAGTCGAAGAGCGTTTCTTCTAAAAAGAGTCATAACTCGTCCTCAACCAARCATTCGTCAGGGAAGTCCCTCGGATCCTCCCGTAACGAACGATGCGGTTCAGGATCGAAGTCTCTGTCGTCTTCAAGTTACGATCCGAAAAAGAAGAGTACGCGTTCTCGCATGGACACATCTGTGCATTCCTCGCCTTCTTCGTCAGCGTCGACCGCAAARCAATCTTTGACAAAGGGAAATCTCCCCTCTATAACTGATGATAAAGCATCTGGTCGAGAGAGACGCGATAGATCGAAAAAATCTTCTTCGAGCCTTTCTCAAAAACTAGAGAAGATCTCTTCAAAAAGTAGCAAGAAGGCAAGTCGCCCCAGGGAKATGGGGACTAGCTCTGTACATTCATTCGAACGTTCTGATCAYTCAACGAAGGAGGGCGACGGCAGCAAGTTGGGACGGAAGATTARTTCAAGACGACGCCGAGACGCATCTAGGCGAAAATCGTGCCCGTCCCTTTCACCTGTGCGTTCCTCTGCTGGCTCTCATCATTCAAAGGAGAAGAATGACAAAAGGACGGGACGGCAGATGAACTCAAGACGACGTCGAGACTATCCTAAGCCAAAATCATGTCCGTCCCTTTCACCCCTGCGTTCCGCGACTGCTTCGTCTCATTCAAGGGGGAAGGATGGCAAAAAGGCGGGACGGCAGATGAAGTCAGGACGATGTCCAGACGATCCTCAGCGAAAATCATGTTTGTCCCCTTCGCCCGTGCCTTCGTTGACTGGCTCTGTGCACTCAAAGACTCTCAAGACCAAAAGCAAGGCGTCAATAGCTTCTCTCGCAATGAAGTCTGATCATGACCACAAATATGATACTAGCAGCAAAGGGAG